TGGATTCTGCAAGACCAGCGAATGCCCTACAAACTCAGGAAGAAAATTTATGACTCGAGCTCCCCTGACTGCAACCTTTCTAAAACACACAAGGTTTCTGTGTTACCAGTTCAATGTCCATCTTTTAGTCACTTTTCTGTTCCACCTGGCTATGGATGAGAAATACAGCTTACCTCACTAAGGAAGCTAACCAAAGGCAGAAGAATTGCTGTGGCTTTTATCTAATTCTTTTTCTCATATTTGCCTTATGTCTCTGTTTTCACTTCAACTGTGATGATTGTCTTTTGCTTAATATGAGATTTGCCGTTCAGTCAGCTCCAAAATCCTATCGACAGGCCGATAAGTTGGTGGCATCCTCTCATCATTACTATAATTGGCCAGTAAGAACCCTCCAGCTCTCAAAAATTACTCTGTTGTACAGTAGGGTGTAAAGAGAACAGTGTTTTCCTAGTGCGAGCTGTAAACTGATATTTGCACAATTTATTTGTATTTACTTTGCCTTATTTTATCCTCTCAATCAGGAGCTAAGGGAATTGTGTAGCAATTGGGCTCTAAGTGAGATGAATCTAGCAGCTGGAAAACACTCCGTTCAGAGCAAAATGGATAATAGTGTATGTTCACAGCTGCTTAAATAACGCATGTTTTAATGCAGGGCTGTGTCTCATACTCATTTTTTTATATAAAATATGCGCTACAATATGAGAAGTCAACATATCAGTGTTAATGGGGAATCTTTCCAAGACCTTACTTTCAAGCGGATAAAAGAGTACAAATTTGGGATAGCCAAAGGTGAGTACAAACAAATTGGCTAGTCCATTAGCATAGCTGTCCAGCTGCATCCTAGGCTCTGAGGCCACTCCAAAACCACAAGCCCGACTGCCTCAGAAGCCTGCCAAGGAGCCAGCTGCTGCTAATAAAGCAGACTCTACAACTTGGCATCTGGGGCCTGTGATTCCCATCCAAAAGGAATTGTATGTGAAAAATATTTGAAATTTGTCTTTTTAAGTAATGCTTTGCTTTGGAAGAAAAATGCTTTACACTAAACTTGCAACAAGTGAAAAACTACATAAGAGTACTGTGGTTGCCATGGGAAGAGAAATACCATTCTTGTGTAAGGAGGGTGGATGTTGGAAGGAGGAGTATTGTTCATTTAGTAACCAAGAGGCTTCTGGGTCAGCATTTCTGGGTTATTGAGTAAGAAAGACCAAGGTATCTCATTATTCATGCTTAGCTGTGTGCACTTGCATGGGACACTTTGTTTTAGAGAGCTCAACAGTAGGGTTTAAGCAAAAGGGTGCGTTCCTGAGACTGGATAAGAATTAAGCACATTAATTTCTCAATTTTAAATAAGGAGAAAAGAGAAATTTCATTCATTTTTCAAAGATGAAAACAAATCCTATTAGCTAGCCATGCTAAATTAATAAGCTGCTTGGAATGATCTACAAACCAGTTCATTTCCCCCATGCTCCCCATTGAATAATGAAGCATGAGAATTGAAAAATGAGTTGGTTGCATTGGTTATTTGAAAAATTAACGGCAAAGCCAGCTCTGAATTCCAGCTCCCTTTTGAAGTAAAAAATGTAGATTTTGCCTAATACTTTTTCTTAGCGCTGCCGGTCCTGTGCTCGGCTGTGTTGGCCAAAGGTCTTTCCCAGATTTCTACAGCTGGTGACAGGGTGTTTTGAGCCATTCTGGAAGGCGGTGCTCCTCATGGCTCTTGTGGCAGAGAAGTTAAGTGCATTGCCCCCAGCCACGGAGGGGGCCGACACCAGAACAAGGCCCAAATTTCCTGCCGTCGGGTGTGCGTGCCACTCCCCAGGCAGTGCCCCCCTTCGGCATTGTCCGGCATCCTGTAACAAGTGGTCCATATCTGGGATCATCATCAGGTTGCCATTCATTTCTTTCACTCCAGTTATTACATGGAGATTAATGAACCAGACCCTTTGCTCGTTTGGAGGCAAAACGCATACTTCTGCCATCAGTCATAGACTCATTGGCTCAGGAAACAAGAATTCAAAGCTTTCTTCTGACCTGAAGCTTTTAGTCTGGCAACAGGCCAGAAGATGTCATCAGCCCTAGTACAGGCAATTTTGTAATCTTTCCACAGACAGTATTCTGGGATATTGGATATGCATGGAAATTACTGTGGGCTGCAGTGGCTGAGATTTATTACTGAAGAGGGTTTGGAGTGTATCAGTGCTTGCTGGTCTGAGAAGGTCAGCATCTTCCAAAGTGGAGTGTGGCTGCCTCTCTGCCCACCCTTAAAGCATCTCTATGGATGCTGCTGTGAACCTGGGCATCTGTGTGTGCCTATTGTCTGAGCAGTTCTTGCTTGAGAGACCACCTACCCCATGGCCCAATTCTCTGGGTATACTGAGGACTTTTGTTTGTTTGTTTGTTTGTTTGTTTTTTTGTAGCTGTGGCCTTAAAATCAGTGTAAATGTAATTCATGTTCACTGCTAGGTCCCCTTTCAGCTGGCCAAGTGGGATGAAATGTCTTAAGCTTAAATTAGAATTAGGCCCCCGGTGCTTTGTCTGTGTGAGGGTAAAGATCTTATAATAGAATGAAAATTGCTGTTTGTATTTCAAAGGTATACTTCCACTTGTTTGTTGGTTTTTTTTTTTTTTCTTGCTTGTTAGGTTGGTGCGACAATAGGCTATTTACTCATTATCCTCTGCTAAGACATATAATAATAACAATTAATAATTAAAGTACATAGCATTTTATTGGCTTACAGAAAACTCTGTCCTAGCCTTACGTCATTTACATGCATTCAATGTGTATGGTAAACTTGGAGGTGTGCAGTAAAGCAGTAATAATGTTACCTTGACTTTTTTTTTTTTTAATTTTATATTACCAATGCTCACACAGTGCTACACATAGTCACATCTACCTCTGCCATGGCCTTGGAGTGCCAGAGATTTAAATGGGCTTTCAGCCAGGATGTTTTAAGATGCATGCGTCTTGTGTATTCGTTGGAGGTTACTGTTGTCTGCAGTTTTACCCACCTGTGCCATGGCAGTTGTGGAGCTGATTTCCAGAATGTGCCCATGGCACTGGGGCTCAGTCAAGGCAGTTCTCCGTGCTGGTACTCAGGGCTGCTGCTTCAACTATCCATGTCTGGGAATGACATTGAAGCTTGGGTGGGTGGGGATTACCCAGTGATAAAATGTGTGTGCAGAGAAATATGATCCGTATGCATTAAGTGCTTTTGATTGTCAGCAAAAGTATCTACGCAGGTACTCGGGGAAGGAAGCTCATTGCCCTTTTACTGCAGAAGAGAGCAAATGTCATTACTTGCTAGCATGGCGATTGCACTATTAAACTGGTTTTTCCTTTTAATGGGTCCTACTTGAGTCACATTACAACCAGGCTAGATTGCAGAGGAATTCTGATGTCCTGACACTTGACGGTGTGTTCCCACTCTCCTGGTTTAAATGGGAGAAACTGAGAAGAAGGAAGGAGAAGGCAGCAGGAAAGGCATCTCTGCAAGTGTGGTGCTTTATCTATTTCATCAAACCCTCTGAGCTTCACCTATCACTGATGCTTCCCTTACGTTCCCCAACTTTTTTTGGTTGTTCTACGTAAAGGAACTTGTTTGGAAGAGTTTAGAGCTACTAATTTAAAAATATCCGTCTACCAAGGCTTTGATTTAGTGTGCACGTAATTATAAGCACTAAAGTACGGCCACTGAAATGAAAGGGGCAGTTGATTAGTGTGATCAGAAATACTCAGAGACTTAAATACTTTCTCTGTTCAAGGCCTAAATGCAGAACGAGTGTATTAGATGTCACTAAAGTTTCATTGCTACTATAATGAACATTGCGTATGTTTTGCTTTTATTAGTCCAGTAGCGCATCATGGGTAACTTAGCATTGGCCCGACATTTACCTGCAGTTGTAACCATGCGTACTGCTAGCAGGATAAGCTGATTGGCTTGCAGAAACCAGATTTTCCTCCTCTCAGCAGGCGGTTACGTTCCTGGAGCTCTGACTCTGGTTCCCCCAGCTGCCCAGCCGGAGCCTCGGCCCGCAGCATCCCCCAGCTTCTCCCTTAGATCTCAGCTTTTCTGCATAGGTCACAGTGGTGACAGGACATGGCCTCCTCCTTCCAACCACTCCTCCGTTCTCCTGGCAAGCACTCTGTGCTGCAAATAAATATGCTGATGGTCAGAGAGCCCGGGATGGTTGCAGCAGCTTGAATTCCCTGTTGTTGCCCCAGATCGGAGGTGCTTAGCTAACTTTTATAGCATGTGTGTGTCTTCTTTCATAGCCTGTATTTACGAGGGAGTTACGGGAGAGTGTTGTTTTCCCTGTGAGAATGCCTCCCTTTTTAAGTGATATTTCTCAGTTGTGTGTGGTTTGTGGTTGTTCAGAAGTGGGTAAGGTTTTGAGAGCGGGAGGTCCTAGCCTGATCATCTTTTCCAAACCCTGTTTCTCTGTTGTGAAAGACATCCCTAATGACAGAGTCTTTTCAGGCTGCTTTGGATTTTTCCTCCTCTCAGGATAGCTAACTCTGCCACCTGACTGTGCGTGCACCGGATGATCCTCATGTTTAGAAAAGGCTAGGCTTCTGGCATCAGCTCCCATACCTTTGGCTCGATACTCTTATTTTTGTCTTAGAATATTCTTAAAGCAGATTGTGTTTAATTTCTTTAGTACCAGTTACTCCCGAGTATCTGTCATTTCAGAGCTTTATTTTGTGATCTAGGTAAAATAGGCTCGTAACGTAGTAATTCCAGATTAAAAAGTAAAGTAAAATAATGCGCTTCATAGGCATGGCTAAACCCAAAATCTCGGCCTTGTTTTGTGTTCTGGAAGGTGGTGTTGGCTTGGGGTGAGTGCACGCACTGCGGGAGTGGGCAGCCGGAGGTGGGCAGGGAGGGCAGGACAAGCATGCCCTCAGTGCCTGGCTCTAGAGTTAACCTGGGTAGAAGCACATGAGTCTGCTATGCTTTCTTTTCGCAGTAACAGCCTTTTTTTTTTTTTTTTGTTTCCAGCAGTCCTATGCACCAGCTCCCCACCCCATGGCTCCTCCCAGCCCCAGCACAAACAGCAGCAACAACAGCAGCAACAACAGCAGCGGAGAGCAGTTGAGTAAAACCAACCTGTACATTCGAGGCCTTCCACCCGGCACCACTGACCAGGACCTTATCAAGCTGTGCCAGCCGTAAGTGCACTTAAAATACTCAGTGTCTTTGGATAGGAAAATGTCAAAGCTAGCCTTTCAGTTTACACTTATATACGTCCACAAAAAGACATCAGAAGCGTCCTGAGCTTGAAGGTTAACTGGTATTTCTTCAGTTTGAACAGCTAATTAATGCCTGTTAAAAGTCTTCTGGTAATGAGTTTTGGGGGGATAGAGGGGTGAGGGCCTTCACATTGACTTCTGTTTCTTTTAATCTGGTTTCTTTCCTATGTTAAAAGGAGAATTTGCATGGCAAGAAGACCTCCCTAATGACAGATTTTATGGTCACAATGATCTGTGAATCAAAACCTGGCGCACAAAAAACCATGGGTGTTCCCACCTCAATCATTTATCACATCTTTTGATTGGTCTGTCACACATTGCCAGGCTCAAAGAATGAGAATTATGAAACCCACTGAAGGTGGCCTTGTAGCAAGCATCTAATTAACTGCAGTTCCACTGAAAACTGATGATGTAGAAAGTAGCACCTTCTACCTCCCTGTTTATCTTGAGAGTCGTGTTTGCAGATTGTACTGATAGATATCAGTTTTATTGTGTTTTATTCCTGTTGAAACTGGAAGGGCAGCAGAAGGGAGCTCTTTGCTCCTCATGCATCAACACAACAACTGTTTCCTAAGATGTTGCACCCTGTTACCCCTCCTCATGTAGTGGCTAATATGAGTAGAAATGAGAACCTGATTGGATTTCCAGAGTCTTGATTATTATTGATGACATGTGGGAGGGGAATAATCCAGTTGGAGATTCCAACCAGAGATGACCTGGGTGGAATTTAGGATAATACATTTTTTGTGTTGAAATAAGAACATGGAGAGATTTGAAAAATAAAAATCCACCCCTGTGATTATACAGAACTGCAGTGCTTTTGCCGTAGAATGTTCTATTCCAAAAGACAACAGCATCTCTGATATTTTTCATCACAAATCAGCCTTTCAAATAGGGATCAATAAATGAAGTCTGGTAAAGTAAGGAACAGTCTAGGGCTGATCGGCTGACTTGGATCCATCCAATTGGCTGTTGTTTTGAAGCTTGAAATAGGAGTAACAATTTAATGGGATGTTATAATTTTATGTCATTCTGCATTTCCTGATTTTGACCAAAAATGCCGAGAGACTTCCCTAAGTATGTTTTATATGGACATGGCTGGCCAGGACTGGAACTAGCAGTCTTACTGAAGTGATATCTGAACTTCAGCAAAATTACATGAGCTTGAAACTCTTCCCTGTGACTTTCTCCTGCTAAAGCCGCTACAGGTAGAAGTGGCTCACTGTTCACAGGAGTATAGCAGGCTGGTGATTTTTCATATTCCATGCAAGCTGAATTGCGAGTGTACCTGTCTGACATTTGTACAAACTACATTCATTGACACTTCCCGCTTGTGACAGTCACAGATAATCCCAGTTCAAAGGGCCAGATCCTCAGTAGGTATAAATTGACTGTAGTCTGCTGATGTTCAAAAACTATTTTGCTATACATCTTCTTGCAGTCTGACCCTTTCCAAGTTCAGACAAATCCTTTCAGCTGAGAAGCTGATCGGGAATGAACTAACTATTCCTAGAGGAGCCTCACGGCTTTGGCGCTTACTGCTGCAGTCATAGTGTGAGATACAAGTTGGCTGTGGTATGAGCAGTGTTACCTGAATCATGAAGTTCAGAGAGCATGTCCCTACCCCTTGTCTGCGTATGGGAAGTGCACATTAAGTATCTGAGAGCTTCCTTTCGGCACTGTGGCAAAATTTTTAATGTGCTCCACTAAACTTGATCTGGTCTATGATTAGAGGGCTTTGTCGTGCTATCATGGAGTTCCTGTGTGAACAGATGCTTTTTAAGGAAAATGCTGACATTCATTTTGCTGATTTTTCTGTCCTGTGGCTAAATGGAAGTGAGGAGAAACCAGATAGTTGTTCTGTCTTTTTTTCAGAATATTAAAAGTATTTATCAAAGCAAGAATGAAAGACGATGCAGGGAAACATAAGCATCTGAAGTACAAGAATTTGTCATGGCAGCATGTAGATTTTTAAAGTAATATATTGCAAGATATTTTCTTTACCTTTGCAGATGGTTACATAGTACAGGTGGATAAAGGTCCAAATCCCTTCTCTTCATGCCCCCCCCCACCCCCCTATGCAGTCTGTATAGCAGCAATCTGCTGCTATGTGAGCAAGACGTACATTTATCTCTTCAGAAATAGTTGTCTTCTATAGAGCTCTCTCTCAGCTTATGTGGCTGGGGTCTCATCACATGCTAAAGACTTCATGTGAACAGGTATTCACAAAACAGCAAAGGTGCTGGCTCTTAGGCTTCTTGCATAGAAGTATTAGCGTAATTTGCTACAAGATGGGAGGTGAAAACCTGAAGTCCAATCCATAAACCGTATTATTATTTTGCAGTACAAGATTTTTGGAGAGCTGCATTTTAAGGGAGGTATTCACCAAAGCTAGCTTACGCCCAGGACAGTGGTTCCCCAAGGCTAGCTGCCAGTGCCTAAAATGAGCCCTTCTGAACCTATTTCCTCCACTCTAGCATGTGACAAGGCTGCCAGCAATACAACTGTCACTTGCAATGTCTGACACTTGGCAGGTCTGAGGAATAATGTTTTAAACCCACAATATTTTATCTCTCAGAACTACAGGGAAAGCTGGAAATGCCGGTGGCTATGTACATTTATCATAGCCCATCCCATTTCCAGGTTTATTCCAGCAAGGAGGCCACCCTCTAAGTGACGTGTAACATTTTTTATTTAATTGCATTTTGCCACGTGGGTTATGGAAGAGAAATCCTTTAATCAGAATTGTTTGATAAAGTATGGGGCTGTTTTGGTGAATCCTGCCTGCTTTTCTGTATTTCTGCTGTGTCTTTTTAGGTGGCGTGTAGCGCACACTAAACAGAAAACAGCAGACTGGAGTACCATTGATGCTTGAAGTGCAGAGTCCATTACACATGATGTCAGACATTTCTGACAAATGTTCCGACACTATCAAACCTTTTATCAATTTAAGAGTAACCTTGTCACAGTAATCTGTCAAACTGTTCATATAACTAAAGGAAAACAAGTCATCATAGGCTGTACAGTAACTGAGTAAATAAAAAAAAAATTGCTACTGGAAGATTTTCTTTTTGTGTGGTTCTAATCCTCAGTATTTGGTTTAACATGTGTCCAGCAAAGTTGCATCAAATTCTCTTCTGCAGCAGGGAGCTGTTAGGTTGCACTGTGTCTTTTGGGACTTTATCCGATGACTCTGTCAAAGGTTACATTGAAAAAGAGTGAATAGCAATGTTTAGCAAGCAAGAGTATTTTGTTTTCTGGATTTTCGTAAACACTGAGGAAAGGAACTTCCAGAAATGGATGTTGGCCTCTCTTAACCGTTCTTGAGGTTTTTAAAAAAGAGGCTTTATACCCATCTGTGATCACATTGAGCATCAGAACTTATTATTTTAAAATTTTGATTTTTAAATATTTCATGAAAATAATAGTAAATATCACATCATTAGCATTTATTTCTCTGAGGTACCCAGTTTCTACTGGTGCAGTGGTACACACCATTGTACATGTATCTTCCCAGTCAAAATATGCTCTTCATCAAAAAGAAAGATACTCAACCTTAAGAAGTAAAATTATAGATTATAGACAAAAAAATGTGCATGATGTATTACTGTACAAGCAAAATATAAATTATCATCTTTGAAATAGTCATAGTCTTTCACTCTAATTTTCATGCATGGTGTTGTATTTCATCCAGAAGAATTCCAAAATTCTCTTAAAAATGTACATAGGTGGCTTAGTCCCCTGTTGGTATACTGGACACATCCCATTCTTACTAACTACATCCCAGTGGAGATAAATTGAAGAAAATCTCATGCACAAATTAAACGTTTGAGCTTTATTACTTTGAAACATTTTTAATTTCAAAAACTCAGAGTCTGTCTCTCAGGATTTTGGTCTTTCTGTCTGTCTTTTCTTGCATGTTGGCACTGAAGAAGACTTAGACCCAAAACTTTTTTAAAAGATAAAATAAGTTCTGGAGAAGAGAATGGGAATTTGGGAAAAGAGATATAAACTACCTCCACCCCTCCCTCAATTTGAAAAGAAAAGTTGGCTTAAAAAGAACAACATTTGACTTTTAAAAAGCCTTGTGCATTGCACTATTAAGACATTGACATGTATTCAAAAGATAATCCCTGTCCATCTTGATTCAGTCATGAATTTTTCATGGCCAGTCTATAGTTTGAAAGAAAGCTACTTCAAACTACTTGTGTCTGATAGCTCAAATTTACATATGTTTTTGTCTTGATTTAGTCCTCCCCCCTTGTGCCTATAATGTACCTTCAGAAATCTTCTGTTTCCATCTGCTTTGTTCTTCTTGTTTGGATTAGCTATCTCATCACACTTCAACAAGTTTTGACTTCTTTGTGGTCCAGGGTTAAAATTAAAGGACTTAATTAAAACAACAATAGTAAAAATATCTAAACCTGAAGAGGAGCAAGTCTGTCTGCTGCTCAGGTGCATATAGTTTCTAGATCCATGTTTTGTGCCGATTACTCAAGGTTTTGGGTTGTTTGTGTTGGTTTTTTTTTTCTGAAGGTATGATGATTGTCTCCTTGACAAGTCATCAAGTGTGAGATTTTAGCCTCTCATTCCATTCTGAACGTCCTTGGTTTTGTCCCTGTGGAATGTCTGAATAAATATTCAGGCTGCCACTGTTTGGATTCTACTAATGGGCTAGCCCCAAGGATAATGTAACTGAGGTTATTAATTGGAAATACACGCATTACTTAAATCCTAGACTATTTTTGAAATGAACTGTGTGCATTCCTTTTGCCCCCACAGAAAACTGCTGAGTTCATCGAGGTTTCAGAGAGGTTCAAGGTGCCTTTCAGGACAGGATCTCTTGTTAATAGCTGCAACAAGTACAATGTTTTCAATTAGGCCAAGCTTTATAGCAAGTTCATGATGGCCATTTCTGC